AAGCGACGTTTGGTGAAACCAGGCCTTGGGTCTGATTTCACCAACGCTGTTTAACTTTAAGCCTAGCTTAATTCGTTCTTTGTCCCTTTCCAACTGTTGCTTTAGAAAGAGACAAACATGAATTAAGCTAAGCTTAAAGTTAAACAACGTTGGTGAAACCGGGCCTTAGTCGTTAGTCAGAAGTCGGAACCATATGTCGATTCCTTTTCTTTCACCCAGAAAGGAAGAGGACCGATATACATATAGTTATGACTTCTGACTAACGACTAGCAACTTATTGTAGACCAGACCTTTCTCTCTCAATCTTTACTGAAAGAGAGAAGAATACTTGGAAGCCACAGCTTGACCGCAGCCTTAGATTTGTCTTCGAAATCTCGACTCACTTGAAAATACCTTTCAGATTGCAACGTCAAAGAGTCGCTCGACGATGGACAGTCAGGGGAAGTTGCTGTGCACGCCGCGACGAGCGCAGAAGTGTCTGTTCGCGCTGCCCAACGACAAGCCCGAGACAAGAAGCGGCTCCGAACGTCCTCGGATCAGAGACGACACGTCCTCGGGGGAGGAATCGGACCTGGGACCGATGTCGCCCCTGGCCCTCACCGATCGAAGCCCGAGTATCTCGACGAGCGACTTCAGTTCCCCAGGCAGAGAATTCGTCTCGCCGCTCGCAACACCCGAGAAGTCCGCCAGCGCGTCCATGTCGTGGGACCGCTTGAGGCTCGTCGCGGGCGACCGCATGTCGCCCTTCAGATCGCTCAGGAAGGTCACCAAAGCCGCCAGGTACTCGCCGAAGGGCAACCTGTTCGGCGGCAGCCGGTCACCGAGATCACTGCCGTCCACACCCAGCAGACGGGCGGATCCGTCGACGCCGCAACGTTCGAAGACGATGCCGGAGCAGAGGAACGAGATAGTACCGGAGACACCTCAGCGGAGCTTCGCCACGGAGATACAGAACCAGAGTATCACGGAGACGCCGCGGAAGAGCCTCGGGGCCGCCGAGAGTCGGCAGACGACGCCGCTGAGCTCCATAAGCAAGACAGTCCCGTTGCCGAAGCTGCACAGGCGAAAGTCCCTCGGCGCGATTGAGGCGAGCGAGGATCTCTCGCCCGAGCAAAAGGAGAACAGGCTGAAGAGATACGCGCGCGACCAGCCGGCGGTGAAACCGGCCAAGTTGTTCAAAGCGGACGAGGGCTCTGTGCCGAGAGCGCGAGCGTCATTGTTTCAGGAGAGAAGGAGCGAGCGCGGCCTGAGCGATTTCTCGCTGAACACGAAGACGTTTTACAGCGGTGGCGCGAAATCCGAGCGGCCTTTCCTCAATTTCAAGAGTGGCAACGTCAAGAGGAGACAAAGCCTGCCCTCGCAGAGCAACAGCAGGCGCTCGTTGACGGGGAAGAAGCGGAGATTTGGCAAGATCAACGCCGGCGTGTACCACGGTATCAAGAAGCCGAAGCCCAGGGCGAGTACGGAGGCGTCGAAGAAGGAAGACTCGCAGGATCCCACGGCCTCGGGCAAGAGTCCACCCGCCGAAGAGACTCAGCCGATGGAGGCGAGCGCGGCGGTGGAGGAGAGGCCACCCTCGCCGGTGGTCGACGAGAACAAGCGGTTCTTCAAGACCAACAGGACAATCAGATCGAATTGCGCCGCCACGGTGACGGTGAGCAATAAGATCAAGTTGAAGGTCGAGGACGGTAAGATTGCGCTGAAGGAGAATCCGAAGCGCGCGAGTGCGCACAAGCCGAGGCCGAGGGTCGAGGACGCCCCTCCGGACGCCACCGATCTGACTGTCGACGAGCCGGAGATCGAGGCCACGTTGCAGCAGGACAGGGTCGCGGACCTCCTCAAGATCCTCGAGGACGACTGGGCGAACGACGGCTACGATTCGATGACACCGTTGACTCAGATCGCGGACGCGTTCACCCCGTTGAAGCCGGCGGCGACGTTGCCGAATGACGCGATCATGTCCCCGGCCAGCGAGCTCAGCAACATGACCTCGACGATGAACATCGGAGACGTGGCTCCCTTGACGAACTTTGAGAGTCTTTCGCTCGACAACACGAACAACAACGACGCCGAGAACAATAACGGCACCGAGAAGGACACCGGCGAAAAGGATGCTGAGAAGGCATACTTTCCGTTGTTCAACAAGGGACATTCTGTACCTGATGATATTTTCAAGTACGTTCCTGAGTGAATCACGATCACATCTTGTTTATCTGTAAAATTTTGCACTTTTATAAAATTACGTTTGCTCTTGTTAACTTCATATTATTCTTAATATCAATTTTGTACTCGTCTTTTTATTAACAATCTGATCTTGTTCATATTCGCACTATTTACTGTATGACTACTTGGAAAAATTATTTTAAGTCGTGTAAAAACTGTCGAAAATCCTACTCTAAATCTGTTTTAACGAGACACATGCTTTGAATTTTGCTTCAGAGAGACTGATGCCACGAAAGCAGGAAAAAGAAATACGCATAAATGGCAACTATCCGCAAAGGGTGGTGGTGCGGACGACCAGTATCAGCTGGACGCTGGTCAGAAGCGCTTCGGCGCCACTCAGTGTCCGGAATGCAAAGTTGTGTACCAACTGGGCAATCCCGAGGATGAAAACGCTCACTTGAACTATCACAACAGCACACGGACTCTAAAATTCCAGGTACGTCGCGCGTGTATCCACAAGATGAGTATCCACGCCACGGTGGCTACGATATTAGAAACATTTCTGCCACACACGATGATTTCAGGGGTGGAAGGACGAGCGCGTTATATTGGAGGATCCTTTCACCTCTAGCAAAATAATCTTGGTCGAGCCGCACGACCCCAAGCAACATTGGAAGAAAGTGTTGGATATCTTGGCTGTCGTAGATACAGATTTGGGACTGTCGGACGTGAATTTCTCCACTTACCAGAGCAAACGGGTGAGTATACGCTGTCCCATGCGCTGTTCTCTTATCGTATATTATAGAATTAAGTAAGAATTTGATAAAGGAAAGGACGCATCTTGCAGGTCTTCTTGTACGTACGCCAGAAAAACGTTCTCGGAGTGCTGGTGGCGGAACATATTGACACAGCGTTCCGTATGATTCCCGAACTGATCGAGCATAACTGCTGCACCGCCGAGGGTACGTCTACGAAATGCGGCATAAACGTCGTCTGGACCGCGATGAGTCATCGCAAGCAGGGCATAGCTACCAAACTCGTCGATACTTTGAGGTAAAAATCGCGTCAGTATTTAGTCTTTAAAGAAATTGCGCAGACTATTTTTCTTCCCGTTTTTTTTTGCGTTTCAGAACCAAATTCTTCTACGGTTACGTGATGTCGTTGGACGACATAGCGTTCTCAATACCGACCACAGGTGGCAAGATCTTCGCCGAGAAATACACAAAAACGAAAAATTTCAAGGTTTACAACTAAATTCGCCATATTTCTGTTCCAGTGTTCGTTCTTTAAAAATAGCTGTGTTTTTTAATATTTTCAAACTAGCAAAATATCCACCTATATACCTTATTTTATCGTATTTTAACTTGATAGTTATGTATTTTTATGAAACCTTTATTACTAACACGTTGATAGAAATGAAGTAGAAAAGTTAATAGGTTTCTTTAAATTAATTTTATATCTTTTTCCTTCTTATTTAAATTATTATTACGTTTTACTGTATAGCTTTAAACCTAACGAGATACTTTTGTAATTTAATTAACAAAAGATATAAATCTGAGGTATAAAGATATAAAGTCAGATAGAAATAAATTCTTAATATACAGAGTTACTTTGGGAAATTATTAATACTCTTGCAATTAACATATTTAGTGATACCATTTTTAATTTATCAAATTTACCAGATTCTTGCTACACATTTTCATACTTCCTGTTCATATGAATAATATATTTAACGCAAGTTATTAAAATGAAAAATGTGTTATATACCTAAAACAATCTGTGTTTAATAAAAAGTATGAACTAATTTAATTTTAAAAAATATATTTTATTGATCAAATTAAATTCAAATATTGTAAATATATGCCATTTGAACCATTTAAACCATAAACTACATATTTAATGTAATACGTAATTACATATTTTATATACATATGTACAAAATATGTAATATGCAAAGTGGGAGACAAAATCAAATATGCTAATTGGTTTAATAAACTTTGTGGCACAAAATTATATTTTGCTACTTTTGCTATCTAAAATAATGTTGATAAGTATTACTACAATGTATCCTATTAATCTGTTAACTGTCAAGGATGCAAGCGTACTCTAACATTTATACCTCATAAGATACTTAAACTAAAAAGTAATAAATCTTAAGTCATATAATTAACTTAATTAACCAAAAAAAAAAGAAATATTCTGCGTTGTCCCGAGAGTTATATTGTCGAGACTGTATGGGCTAAAAATAGTATCACAATGTGTTGTACTGAATATTGAACACAAAGTAATCCAATTACTGACATTAATTAGCCATTTTAATTGCGATAGCGTCTACCACCGCCACCTCTGAATCCTCTTACGCACGATTGTTCAGCATCTTTTTTCTTCTTCCAGACTTCATATCTCTCAGCCATTTTGTATACTTCCTCAGGTACTTCCTGAAATGAAAAGTATGAATCAGTTGAACTCGCTCGTAGAGATTTTGAAAGAATTGAAGTACTGCGTGTCTATTAACTTGATTAGCCTCCTCGAGAATGTTAATAAGTCCCTTGGCGTGATGCCAGTCCTGTCTCGACATAAAAGTGATACTCTCGCCCGTTCGACCCGCGCGGCCAGTACGGCCGACTCTGTGAACGTATTCCTCTATATCCCGTGGGAAGTCAAAATTCAGTACGTGTCTAAAATAAAGGCAGAGATGTATCGATATCGTATTTCGGACAATGTAACGTGCCTCGTATGCGAGACTCACGTAATGTCCTCAATGTCGATTCCTCGACTAGCCACATCGGTCGCGAGAAGGATCTGAACGGCTCCAGTCTTTAGATCTTCTAACGCCTGCTCCCTATCTACTTGATCCCTGTCGCCGTGAATACTCTGGCAATCGATGTTCGATAAAGCTAGATCGCTAGAGATATCGTCCACCTTGCACTTTTTACCGAAAAACACGATCACTTTATCGTAAGGGCCCATTTCCCGGAAGAACTGGTGCATCTAAAATGATTACACCATATTAATAAAAAAAATTAACACGATAGTGACATCTTCAAGATAATCTGTAGTCAGTTCTGCGCATGACACATGCATTTATAAATAGAATTAGATTTGAAAAGGATATTGCCTAAAAATTTTTACTTCTAACGTGTAAGAAAAGCATTTAGCGCTTTCAAGATGCTACTAACCATATCATTTTTTTCCTCTTCGTCAGCAACCATACAAATCCTCTGTGTTACAGAATGAACGGCTGCTAAGTCAAGTGATCCGACAAATACTTGAATCGGGTTTTTCATGTACGATTGAGCTAAGCGCCTTACACCCTCAGGCCACGTAGCGCTGACAAAAGAACAAATATTATATTAATATTTATTACATTAGTTGTATAACACTGATACAACGCATTTCAGGTTCAGATAGCACTACATTTTAGAACGTTACAGAAACAAGTGATCTACTAGAAATCAAGAAAATGTAGATTCTGACAGGATGAAAAATTGTAAGAGCAACTTTTTCGTGAAAGAGTCCGACTTTAATGGCGAGTCTTTAAAAAATATGATTTGTACCTTGTCATAACAGTCTGTCTATCTGGTCGAACACCCAGGAGAGTCTTACGAATTTGTGGTTCGAAGCCCATATCCAGCATACGATCTGCTTCGTCAAGTATAAGGTACGTCACAGCCGACACATTCAATACCCCTGCTTGAACCAGGTCGTTTAATCTTCCGGGAGTCGCAATTACTATCTGCACACCCTTCCCCACAAGATCTACTTGCGCCTTGCGACTTCCGCCACCGTACACGCACACCCTTAAATAAATAATTAATTTTCAATCAAAATATAAAGTATAAAGTAAAAAGTTACATTTCGATATAAGAACGTGAATGTAGGGCATCTTTTTTTTTGTAAACGAACTTACGCTTTGATGCCGTGGTAAGAGTACTTTCCTACTTCCTTTTCAATCTGCAGTGCCAGTTCTCTCGTCGGTGCCATGACAAGGACGTTTGGTCCAGGACGCTCGTTGCGTGGAGTCACTTGGCCATCGATGTGAATCAGAGCGGGCAGTAAAAAGGCAAGAGTTTTTCCTGAAATTCACTTATTTTATATACAGGTGTATGTAACAGATCGCAAAAGAAAAACCAATATAAACCTGTTCCAGTTTGCGCTATCCCAATGAGATCCTGGCCGCTCAGCAGAATAGGCCACGCCTGGCATTGTATAGGGCTCGGCTTTTCAAACTTTTGTTTCCGTATTTCTCCAAGGATGTCTGGATACGTCTGCAACATGAATGAAATGATATTGCATCTGTATTGAAGCAACCCAACTGGCAAATTTTGTTAAATTTATTATAATGTTTCGACGTTACTTCAGGTCCTTTACAAGTAACAGTACAAATAAAAAAAAACAGAAAAATTCATAGACTAGCAAGTCATTGTCATCCGTGAGATACAGTCAAAAGATAAAAATAAGCATACCATCCGAACATTACTGAGGTTCGATTTGAACATCTTTTGACTCTGTCTCACGGATGACGATGACTTACCAGTCTATGAAATTTTCTGGTTTTTTTAAATATTTGTATTGTTACTTGTAAAGGACCTGAAGTAAGGTCGAAACGTTGTAACAAATTTAATAAAATTTGCCAGTTGGGTTGACAAGAAGCTCACTGTTTTAATTTTTAACCACCGCTGGCGATCGATCACTGCAAGCGATATTCTTCTGTCGTCAAGTAAATGAAGTCACAAGCTTAATCGCCACATTACCTGAAAGGCTTGCTCGAAGGTCTCGACAGGATTTGGTATCTTCGTGTCTTCGCCCCCTTCGTTCTTGAAGACATGCTGTACTTCTATATTATTGTTAGACTCCCTGATACGAGCTACTTTAGACTCCGACATATTAGCAATGACCGAATCCTCTTTGTAAAAATTCTTTATAATCGGAGGCAAGTTCGCCCACTTTTCCTTCTGACGTTCCTCCTGTCGGGAAAGTTATCGTGTGTAATATCGCGTATCATTAAGTAGTCGCATCTTTTGCTACGCGCGAAACATACGTATTCTTCATTAGCCTTAGTCCAATCAAAATTAGCCCAGTCGACCTCTCGAGGCCCTTCGGGCTCGGACTGCATTGTTCGCGCAGATTCCATATTTCCCCGCATACTATTTCTTTCGGTTAACAGCTCCTCTATCATGCTCTTGGCTCGTTGTTGCGCTTCGTCCGAACCAGATAGCGTCACGGCACTCTGTCCATTTCCGTCCTGCTGTTTATCAATCTAGATAAAGGCGACAGAAATCAGTTATTAAATACAGGATTGTATGCGACGGATCACATCCTGCAACGCATTACTCTCTAAAAGTCAATCAGTGGATTATCACTTGTAACTGTGAATCGGTGAATATTCACTGTTTTCTGTGATAATCCACTGATTGACTGTTAGAGAGTACTTTGTTGCATTATGTAAAGAATTATTCAACGCCAGTAACTGATTGACCGATGTAGAGAATTGCTCGACGACGCTTGGCTGGCAAATTCTAATTAAAGAAATTGGTTGCGAAAAATATTACCTCAGCCTGGGTTAGGATTGAACCTGGACCTCCCTACCCAAGGAAAAATGAAAAGCCTTTGTTAGATTTTGGTCAATATGACATCAAATTGGCGTCATCTTGACTCTTCATTTTCCTTGGGTGCACTCTAGGCGCGCGTCTCACCAATTCGACCACTGCGGTAATATTTGTCGCAGCAAACAGTAGTAGCCAGGCGTCGTCGATTCTTTTACATTGGTTTGTTGCATTATGTTTAGGATAACAATTAATTTACATTGATCATGGCACCGCTCTCCTCTTGCAGGGCTTTAATCTTGCTGCCACCTCTCCCGATAAGTCTCCCAATGTTGTTGGGGTCGATGTGCATAACAAGTGCGTTCGTAGCATCATTGCTGTCCGCACGGTCATTACCGCCGTCTCTCCTTCTGTACGAGTCATTGCGATGACCCTGGGTATTCGAGTCACTTCTCCCCCCCCAGTTATCCCCGTATGATCTGTTGGAGCGTCTGTAAACCTGACTGTCCCTTTCCCTTCTGCCTTCTCTCCTGTGATCGTAACCTCGGTCGTATCTCCTCTCCGACGTCCTATCACTTTCCCAGCTGTCACTCATTGTCGGAGGTAACGGAGATCCTCGTGTTCAAGATTAGTGCGCTCTGAAACGTTTGACGTGCGACGATTGAAGCAAAAGATTTTACATCGGCGCCTCAGAGGTGAACAATGCCAAGTCACATCTTAAACGCGAGACTTTTATGTTCTTTCAACAGAATAGAAAATTGTTCATCTTTGAGGCACTGACCTAGACAAGCGTGACAATTTTACATCTTCGCCGACTTGGAATCGAGGCTTTTTCCTCAAGTGATATTTTGAGAAATAATCAGAGCACTAATTTAATTCGATAATTTTAAAACAATTACTCTAAGTTGTAATAATAAAGACAAATTGTTCCGAAGTGCTATCAGGACTCTTCTAGCACAGTCAACTGAATGCAACATCGCGGTACGTGTCCAACTAAAATTAAGCTTTCCTATGCGCCATCGCTTCTCCTTTAGAGATCATTCAATTCACTAAACACACATACATCTGACTTGCACACAGCCTGCGCTTCCAGCCGAGATGGATACAGTAGCTGGTCCTGATACACGGATTAATTCACAGATCAAAACGAAAGTCCGACTATGATTTGTTCATCAAATGCACGACGCTTGAGATTAGTGTATCCCAATTTACAGCGCCGGGAAAGAGCAACCCAGAGAACATGCATGTCTACGACATCTTTAGGACGTCTATTAGACGCGGCGAGAAAACGTGAGGCCTCGGACACGCTTCGGAAACCTCGCAAACTGTACCCGGGCCTTAAACCGCGTACGTACCAGTGCTTCGCAAGACTCACCGATGCTTCGCGGTTAGACTCGTGGGTGTCGCATTACGCTACGCATTACGCTGAGCCAGCAGAGTGCACGGAGTACACCCTCGTCCCGTGCCCTGCGAGAAGGAACGTGAGAAAAAAAAACCGATTCGTAAAGAGAAACAAACAACGCGGGACGACGGAACGATTCCTTTCGCGCGCGAACACCTCACTCGGCTTGTCGACCGCGGATTATCTACGGAAAATATGCGGGGAAGAACTCGTTACCGTTTGTCGCCGTCACCGATCGCGACAGATCTCAACTCTACGATCTACGAGGGAGCACAGGTATCCATTAGGTCCCCGCCGAAATCATCCATGTTACCCTACGCCGAAATGACAACAAGATCACGTGATCGGCTCTCGCCGGCTTTTCCCGGCAGCGCCGGGGATGACCCGAACGACGGCCAATTAGCCAAGGAGATCGTTGGCGGGGGGGGGGGGACGAACTATTATTTGTTCTTCTGATTACCCGCGACACGTTTCGTAAAAGTCGAACTTTTCGCATAAATTTCGGAAAGTCTACTTTTATAAAACGTCGCGCGTGAGTGCGTAGCGTTTAAAAACTTTTATGGAATGGCCGCAAGTTGATTGGTTAAAGCCTTGTGTCCACGATCCAAGAACTGTGTCCAAGTTCTAGTTCCGAGAAATGCGTA